AAAAATAATTTCTGAACAAAGTTTGCAAAAAGCATTTCAGTGAGTACATTTGTCTCTGGGAAGGCAAATGCAGAGGTGGGAAGGAGCTCTGGCTTGGGCTGTCACGTGGAGTAGTGTCTTGCCCTGTGAGCTGCCCATGAGCGCCCGGCTGGGTATGAAGACAGAGCTGAGAGGGGGATGCAGATGGCCAGGTCGGAGCCCCCTGGGATGCCACCAGCATCTGTGCCAGAGCAGGCAGAGCCGCCTGTCTCGGCAATGAACTTCCTCAGGAAACGAGAGAGATTCAGCTCCTCTGTCGGACAGAAAGCTTTCAAAAGCACAAAAAGTGGCAACTGGAGAAAAATCCACATCCACGTGCCGCTTAAAAACATGGCTCTGAAGCCAAATTCCAGTGTGTTTGTGGTTCAGGCCAGGCCATTTGTTGTCACATTTGCCATGAAAATGTGACATGGAGCTGGAGGTTGCTTGGGAATCCCAGCATGGCAAGGGTTGGCAGGGCCCTTGGGAGCTCACCCAGTGCCACCCCCCTGCTCAAGCAGGCTCACCCAGAGCAGGGGGCACAGGACAGCGTCCAGGCAAGGGTTGAAGATCTCCAGAGAAGGAGACTCCACAGCCCCCCTGGGCAGCCTGGGCCAGGGCTCGGGCAACCTCAAAGTAAAGAAGTTTTTCCTCCCATTTAACTGGAACCTCTTCTGCTTCAGTTTGTGCCCATGGCCCCCTGTCCTGGCGCTGGGCACCACTGAGAAGAGTCTGGCTCCGTCCTTGTGACACCCACCCTTAAGCATTCAGGGCCATGGGGATGGGGGGGTACCTTGGCCTAACGAGGTAATGTGCTGGGGTCCATTGCAGAGAGAGGGAGGGTGCGCTGGCTGGGCCACCTGAGGGGTCTGGGCTGGTGCACGTCCTCCCCTGCAAGCCACGTCCTGAGAGCTCCTGCTCATGGCTGGGGTGGTGAAGGGCAATTCCTTACGTTGTATTAAGTAGCTTGAGTTTCTGAAGCCTCGATGCCTGTTCTGCAAAAAGGCCAGGAAACCGTGCTCCTAGCTAATGGGCCTCAGCTTTTCCTTCAAGTTCAGTGCTATTCCTCCTTTATTTCAGACTCTTCATCTTTCCCCCTCTCCCTCTAGGAGTGTTTTTCCTCTTTGGTAAGAAGATTTAGTGATGGTTACAGTCTTGGTTTTGTTGCACTGGGGTTTTCCCTGGCTGGATGACAAGATGAACTTTCTTCTCTGAGCATACCCGTAGCGAGGAGGTGATGTGTGGAGCGAGGAGCGGGCATTTAGCTTTCCCGCACATTTCGTTAGCATTTCGGCTGCTTCCATAAGCCTGATCCTCAACAGGAGTCTTCTGGAAGTGCTGTCTGTCAGGCTGCTCCATTCCTGGAAGTTCTATTACATCTTATCATTTTATTCCTTTGTTTGCTCTATTCTTCCCTTTTTTTATTTTTTTAACCTATTCTCTCACAGCCTTCTCTTTTTGCTGAGCTACTCGTTATGCACTAAAAGGTCTCTTTTGCAGGTGTCAGTCCTAAAATCTTCGTGATTACTGAGAGGGGAGGAAAAAAGCCTGAATAGCACTGTTTACTGCCATCTTCCCGGGCACTGAAATTAATGTGCACTGGTTTCAACAGTATCTCATTTCTTCGGGAAGGCTAATGGCCCGGTCACTTCATTATCCTGCCTTTCTGCACAAGTGCCAATGTAATAGAAATGCTTTCATTTTCCAGCCTACCCTTGGGTGCTTGAGACAAATGCTCTCAAAAGCTTATCCATACTTTTTTTTTTTTTTCTGTCAGACTGAAAAAGCTATAAATCCGTTCATCACCTGTCCGTTTAGGTTAACATATTGCACCTGCAACCCTTTTTAATGTCTTAAAAATAGTCAGGCAGTGTGCTTTCACTGGTGGGTACTTTACCAACCAGTTAAGGCTTTATTTGTCTATTTATTTATTTTCCCAAGAGGGCATTTTATTACTGACAGCATGAGTCAGGACGATTAAAGCTTGCAGTGAAATATTCCAGCCTCTGATATGGTGCAATATGAACTGGAATGAAATGTTACCTTAGTCATACTGAAAAAAACAATTAATGCCCTGTATGTTGGTGTTACCTGCGAGTCTACCAGTTCCCTCTTCCCAGTAACGTCTTCCTCCCCGTACATTGTTGTGTGGGGAGTGACTGGCAAGGAGAAATTTTGTGTTTTCGTAGCACTTCTGTGCTCCTGCGCAAACAGGTTGTCAGCATGGAGTTAGTCTGTTGTCTATGGTTGTGCTTTATGGAGAGAAGGCTGTTAATCCTGGTGGGCGACAAGCTGGCCATGAGCCAGCAGGGTGCCCTTGTTGCCAAGAAGGCCAATGGCATCCTGGGGTGCATTAAGAGGAGCGTGGCCAGCAGGGCGAGGGAGGTTCTCCTCCCCCTCTGCTCTGCCCTGGGGAGACCCCACCTGGAGCACTGGGTCCAGTTCTGGGGTCCCCAGTTCAAGAAAGATGAGGAACTCCTGGAGAGAGTCCAGAGGAGGGCAACAAGGATGATGGGGGGACTGGAGCATCTCCCCTAGGAGGAAAGGCTGAGGGAGCTGGGCTTGTTCAGCCTGGAGAAGAGAAGGCTGAGAGGGGATCTCATCAACACCTACAAATATCTCAAGGGTGGGGGTCACGAGGACGGAGCCAGACTCTTCTCAGTGGTGCCCAGCGCCAGGACAAGGGGCCATGGGTACAAACTGAAGCAGAAGAGGTTCCAGTTGAACGGGAGGAAGAACTTGTTGACTTGGAGGGTGCCTGAGCCCTGGCCCAGGCTGCCCAGGGGGGCTGTGGAGTCTCCTTCTCTGAAGATATTCAAAGCCCACCTGGACGCTGTCCTGTGCCCCCTGCTCTGGGTGAGCCTGCTTGAGCAGGGGGGTGGGACTGGGTGAGCTCCCGAGGGCCCTTCCAACCCCTGCCATGCTGGGGTTCTGTGTGATTCTGTGCAGGAAAGAAGGCAGCCAGGACTCTTGGGTTTTATTCCAGGCTTCACCAACTCAGCCAGTGCTGAGTCTTCTTGTGCATTATTTACGCCATCTTTTAAGTGAGGGTAACAAAAATAGCTATTTTACAGGAACATTTTGCCTTAATTGCGAAGAGCTGTGTGGCTCAAGTATAAAAATTACTTCAGGGCAAATTTTTATTTTATTCCTGTTGGTCTTTTGAAACAGGATTGAAAGGTGGATTTAGTGGCCGCGTGTAATTTTCAGGAGGATTGTCCTTCTTTATTAACTTCCCCTCCCAACCCCTTGAATTACAGAGATTCTGCCCCCGGCACTGGGGAGCGGTGGATGTTGACACAGGTGCCAGGACGATGTTGCAGATGTTGTCATTCTCCTCACTAGGAATTCCTGTTTTTAACTGTGACCTGTTTTGGCACAACAGTCCAGGGTCCATCCTGGTCCCTCGTTGCCGGCCGTTCAGCTATACAAATACGTGTATTCTCATGTGCTGGCCATAAAGCCCAGCTTTCCTCGCCTCAGGACAGCAGGGTTTAATTTTCTCAGTGGTGGGAATGGACAGTGTCTTCTGTTAGCCATAAAGGCTGGTTTGATGGCAAAGGAAAGCATTTAGAAAATCATTCTAAGTGCTGTTATCTGTTCAGCTGCCTTATTCAGGTTTTCTGTCCTTTTCTCCCCTCCCCTCTGACTGTAGAGTTCCCCGTAGTTATACAGATATATTCCGTTGCATAGAGAAGGTGTTGGCATCCTCTCATCTTTTGTTACCCTGATGCATAAGCAAAATGGTGGCAGAGATGCCGTGTAGTATTTATACTGGTGGAACCACGCCAGGAGTGGTTTTCAAGGCAGAGGAGACTCGGAAGTGAAAAGGCATGGTATTTTTCAAGTGATTGGACTTATGAGTTAAGAACGATGGAAAGGAATTACGGTTACCTGATATGTTTTTTTTTCTACCACAGCCTTGCAAAGCACGTAAGCATCTGCTGAAATTTCACTCGACCTTACCATGTGGCTCAAGCCAGGCAGCTACCTGGGCGCCTCGGTGTTTCTCCTGCAGCTAGGCTCCAAACTGAAGAGACAGTAATGCGTCGGTGGAAATTTAGGAGGGTGCAAGATTAAATGTTCTTGAAAAGCTTTTTGCATTAAGGTTTGCAGAGGAGAGAATGAGTGCGAGAATGTGTTCAAACTGAGCAGTGAAATCTGCACAGCTTGACTTGCCTCATCCATCTGCTTGGACTACGTTAGCTATGTTTAACAGATTACATTCAGCCTTACCATTTCAGGGAGAGCTGTTGAGCCTCAACAGACATGGGAGAGCCGTCTTGTAAAGTTATGCAAGTAAAATGGGAGCTTAGCTTTCCTGCAGGTTTCTCAGGAGAACAACAGAAGAGGTGAAGAAATGTCGTGGCATTTTTCCGTCCTGACCACGCTTGGCAGGCCAGGAGATGGGGGGGTGACTCTCTCCTGCTTCGCCACGCTCTTGCTCCTTTATGGATTTGCGCTGGATTCCCCAGGCTGGCGTTTTCGTTCTGCTGCGTGCTCATCTGACTTCTTCCCTGGCTTTGGCTTCGTGTCATGCTGCTCACCGAGACAAGCGTTCTCTTTGTAGAGCAACACCTGCCTAGGCAGAGGCCGTGGTGAAGCAGGGGTTAAAGCCAGCGCAGGTTCCTGCTCCTCTGCTTGCTCAGGTGTGCAGCAAAGGGTAATAAAGAATGGCTGATTAAGAGAAAACAACTTTGTGCGCAGAGCTTATGGGACCAGACAGAATTCCAGGCTGGGAACTCTTCTGGTTTCTATTTATTTATTCTACTTATTTTTTGATGGTAGCTATCATTTCTTACAGAAAAGACTTTCCTATCTGCTGCTATATTTTTTCTCTTTTTTCTTTTTTTCTATTTTTTTTTTTTTTTCCCCCTGCTGAGTCATTGCACAACTCCACAGTCATTTGTATGTGCTTGCTTCCTGGAGTCTTGAATTGGTCTGTCACGTACCTTTCTTCTTTCCTCCTACATTTCATATAACTGCACTCGTTTCAAGCACTTCTGCACGGCGGAACCCCTTTCAGATGGTCCCATGGTGTTTCTCTGTGATCAGGGTGAGTGAGGAACGTACTAATGGCAGAATTTGTCCTGTGCTCAGTAAGCTGTTATTCCTCTGATAATGGTAATGTTTTAAAATTACTCCTTTTCCTTACACAGAGGCAGCCTGCGAATGCAGACAAGTTATCTCGTCACTGGGGGAGGGGGGGAACAGAAAACCTTGTTTGCTTTTGCTTTTTCATGCATTCCACTGCTGGCATCTGCTTAGGCAATTAAACACCTTTCATATTTTTCATCCTCTATAAAGCATTAGAAACGGGGTCCTCTCTCTGTTCTTTGAATGTCTTGTTGATCTTGACTTGCCTAGGAATATGTAGTTTACTTTTTTCCTCTTTCTTTGTCCTCCCCTTCCTTAAGCCTTTAAAATTGGGTTGGTGTTTCAGGGACTTTCTTGGCCGGCCTGACGCAAAATTAAAGAGGTTACATAAAACCACAAACTTGTGCAGCAGTGCAATTAATATGTTTTGTTTTAAAAGAGTGAAAATTCCTGGCTGATATTTTTTCAATTTTAAAATATCCTTGTTCTTAGTCACAGGTTGTTTCTGCAGTGCTTATATTTTGTTGCCCATCCTTTGCTTTTTGAATAAAACCCAGAAACTTCCTCTTTTTTTCCCCTCCAAAGTGTTTGTGTTTCACATGCTCCTCCCCTGCCCAGTTAATTAGAAATAACAACAACCAACAAAGCTATTATTTTTTCCTGCTCTCTGGCATTCCCAAAGGATTCGGGTGACGTGGCATGATGAAGCATTGCAGCACCCTTACAACCTCAGGTCCTCAGTTCCAGCATTAGCAAAGCTACAATCAATATCCAAATTCTCTTCTCTCAGTATGAAGAGACACACGTACACGTCAGGGTAGGATCTGCAAAAGCCCACATGAGGCTTCACAGGACAGGGGGTGGCCAGGGTTAAAAGAAGGTCCCCGAGAAGCCTCTGAAGTTCTTGCTCACCCTCTCCTTGTGAAACTACATCCCAATGAAGGTGATGCACCAAAGTGGTGCCGTGGCTGTGCGCGGCGATTCCACCATCGCTTCTGTTGGACCAAGGGGAGTTCTTGTAGCCGTGTGCGTTGCTGTTGGTCCAGTGGAAAGCTAGTCCTTTTGAAAATTTATTTATTTTTCCTCCAGCTCAGTGTCTGTAGAGATGGGCGCCTCTGCTGGCACGGGGCAGATTGGGCATCAGATGGCTGGGGGGAGATGGGGAGCTGCCCCTTTTGGAAAGAGCAGAGCCCTTGCATGGCTTCTTAGGCTGTCAGGGAAACCTCACCACTGGCTGAACGTGCCGTCTTGAAGCTGTGCTGCATTGGCACTTCGGTAATGCTGATCTCTGCAGGCCAGGATTTCTGTGTTTAGTGGTCCCAGTAAGTCTTTCTGTAGGTATCTTACTGCTTTCTCTCCCTCTTTTTTGAAAGCTGTTCAGAGGGTAATGGGGAAAGGAGAGGACGAGGTATTGCGTAGAACCGTAGTGGTCGGAGCCACAGATTGGGAAAGGGCCGACTGCAACGCTCCCCTGAGCCTGTGCAACCGTGTTCTCGGGGAGAGCGCCCTAATTAGCTGTCGGTACACTGGGCTGGGCTCTTGTTCTCTTCTATGCCAGGCTCAAGCGTTTTATGGCAAGGACTGGGTGAGGAGAGAGCGGCATGATCCTCCAGTCTGCGCAGGAGCGGGGTGTTCTCCCTCTGTCCTGATTTTTTTACCTGCAGGCCCTGATAAGGTCTTTGGTATTGATGTGCCTTAGGATAAAGGCTGTGCTGCTGCAGACGGTCTTGGTGCATGGGTAGGAGCTGCGAAACTGCACTTATCGACTGTTGGACTTGATGATCTTCAAGGTCTTTTCCCACCTAAATGATTCTGTTTCCTACCTGAGGCTCAGTCTGCCTCTGAAATACTGGACAAGTTATTTCAGCTGTGAGTTACTGGAGGTTTTTGGAAAATGGATGGAGGTTTTCTCTTTGCTCACCTCTTGTCTGCTTTGTCGATAGTCCTTGCCTTGACATTTTATAGCCCCCTGGCATATCCAAGTACAGCAGTTAGCCTAATTGGGGTCACTAGACAATAGTGCTTGTTATCAGAAGTCTTTAGAATACAGGTTATACACGGTATTTCAGTGTTGTACTCCTGAGTAGCCTTTAGAGTTAATGCTTTTGTTTTATGATGTGCCATCTCTCAGTCTCTCCTCCAAAAAGAAAAATAAATCTAAATTAAAAT